AGTCAAAGCCAAGTTCATGTATCTGTACTTCTGAAGCTAACCCCCACAGAAGTATTATAAATAATGTCAGGTGCTCTGGAAAGCTCAAACTCTTACTTAAATACAGTGTCTCAGACATTAAAAGCACACAGGGGAAGGCAAGGATTTGAGTTTATTGTAGTCCTGAGAGAGGAAGCCACAGCTTTCACATCTATAACCCATCACGCAGACACACAAGTTCTTAAGACTTGTTGAAAGCCAAAACATCAGGTGGATCTGTTTAAAGAAAAGCCGTGGGCTGGGCATGCAGATCAGCGCACAGCACTCATCTAGCATGAGCAAGGCCCTGCTTTTGATCTTCGACACCAGAAATAGGAAAACAACAGTAAAAAAATTAGAACAACCTTTCAAAGAAACTCATTCTTCCCCCGTGTAATAACAAATCTACTCTGAGATTTAAAAAGAAGCAATTATGGTTAAACAAAATATTGCAAATCAGTTTTAAGAGTCACACAAATTATCGCAAATGAAAAAGAGATATTTCATGAGTCTATAATAAAAATCTAAGAAAGAGACAAAGAACTTTCCCCTCATGACCTTTACAGCCTTGGGTGGAAAGCCTCAGTCACCACGACCCCCCTTCAACTGAGGTCATGTGTAGGAAAGCAGTAATCTCACCAATCCCCAGAGGGCACCACCACATACTCTCCCTTCCTACATTATGTGGTAGCTTGATCACTGGGTAGCAGTAGGTTGCTTCTCTGATAAACTGAAGTATGGCAATTATTAGGTGTGACCCAGTTTAGAGGGATGAAAATGAACATTTCAGACCTCTCAGTAATAGAGTTTGGAGAAGCAGCCCAAAACTAGTCAAGGCCCTGCCCTAAGGCACTTGCTTAGACTCATGCCTGCAAGGAAGCTGACAGTTATCCAGAGCAGCAAGCAGGACATGGAATCTAAAGAAAGGCAGGCTTCACGTACATCCCTTACACCAGGAATCCAGTTTGGCCTGGCAGTAAGTCATCCCAAGCACCGCTCCTAACTCCTGGCATGGGGACGGAAGCGCCTGCAAGGATTAGTCCAGACCTCTCCTGTGAGGATGTACAGGACTGGCCTCAATGCAGGCTTTCACCCGGCTTTTCTCTCCACTCCACTGCCTTCAGCTCCTTCATTTAGGCCATCCTCTTTCAGAGCATTCACTTTCCTTTTTGGTGTCAGAGAGTGGAAAACATGAACTACAACCTCATAAAACCTAAGTGTATCGAACAGATGTTCCTGAACCACCCAGCACGATCCTAGAAACTGTTCAGCAGTCTTTGAAAGATTCAAGTTCTTTAAATGCCTGCGAGGGAGACAATAAACCTCTAACTGGTGGACCAGCATATGGAAAGGTCATCCAACATGGTCAGCATCACGGCGGATGAACACTGTATTTGGGTTGTTTATGTGAACTGATATACAACTGATCAAATACAAAACCCCAGCTCCCGAGAAAGCTACAAGAATGTGATGAAAATGAAATATTCTTACAGACACAATTTACAAAATCTACATTCATGTCATTAATTTTTGGTGGTAACCTTAAGCAGACATTTAGTGAAACCAAGGTTATTTCATTCCATACTACGGTGTGAAAAACAGAAGGCACTACTTACTATTTGCTGTTGTTGAGTTCTCTTGCTTAATATTCACAACTGTTAGGTTCCTACCTAATAAGGAAATGGAGATGGCAAATAACCTGCCCAAGGTAACACAACTAGTCTAAAAGGTCCTTCTATGTCTAAGTTCACAGTTGTACATTATTCATAATGAAATTTCAAGTACATGCTTAAGAAGACAATATAGCTACGAGGTGTGGAAAGTGGAGACTGGGAAGATCAGATGGCCAGCCCTGGTGAAAAGTTCTCAAGACCCATCTCAAACAATAGCTGAGTGTGATGATGAGCGTCTATCATCCCAGCCACACGGGTAGTGTAAATAGACTATTGAGGTCCAGACTAGTCCAGCATAAACACACAACCCTATCTCAAAAATAACCAGAATAAAAAGGGCTGGGTCATGGCCCAGGTGGTAAAGCAGCTTCCTGGCAAGCACAAGGCCTGAAGTTCAAGCCCCAGTATCATCCAAAAAAGGGGGGAGGGGAGATGGAAGAAGAGTATAAGTCTAAAATACTTAAAGTGCAAAGAAAATGTGTTCACTGAACTGACGTTTAAAAAGAAAATCCTATACGCATTCCAACAAGTTTTAGTATGCTTGCCAGAAAAAGGGGAAAAAAGCAAACTGATTCCAACTAGTCTATAATTTCACTTATATTTAGAATATGAGCTGAGCTGGGTATGAGTGTATAATGAATATATATATGTATATGTCTCTGTGTGTATAACACCCACATTATTCAAAATCTCCCAAAAATGTGGAAAGTTTGTTCCACTCCTTCTCTATTTTGTCTACTTTAAGAATCCTTTGCAATATGCTTATGTAAATACTGACTTTAGCTGCTGTTCTCATTTCTCCAATCTTCTCCTTTTAAAGGATTGGAAAAGTGATAGACCTAAGTAGACATCTTTGGAACACAAAACCAAGGAGACATAAACAAATACAACAGATCAGAAAGAAAGGCTTCTTCTTGGTCCTTCAGTTGAGGATCTATGAAAAGAACTGAAAGGAAGTAGAGGTCTTGGCTGTGCCCGAAGGTGAGGGCGAGGGTAAGTGTGAGGGTGTGTGCAACCCATACACAAACACCTGCAGGTGTGTACAATCCACCAGGAGCCTGCTTCATTAGCATGATAACAGCTTTTGACCTTAGGTTAGTAAAAGCTCTACAGAAGCATGAGATATAAGTGAAGGAAGATTTGGGAACTGACAATTACATTGGGAGATGACAGAGGGTTGAAGAAAACAGTTCAGGTTGTAAAGCCCAAAAGGTGAGTAGCTTCGGTTTTCTTATCTCAGACCCTTTGTGTTCAATTACATTAATAGCTCATGAACTCTGTAGGCAATTTGCCTTTGTCCACATTTCAAAGAGATGCTGAAGAGGACTAAGGATAGACCCAAAAACAACTATGCCACTTACCTGGTGCTCAGTCTTCTTTACAGACCTAAGTATGGAGCTAGTGTGATATTGTAGATCACAAAGCATAGTGCAAAGAATGCTGGCAAAACTAAGAGAAGTTGTAAACATGTGAAACTCACCAATGGTGCAGTACATGAAATTAAGTACTACACATGATACCGTGGCATGAAAGTGAAAACACAGAATACATTTGACGAGGACTTAGCAAACAGTATCAAGGATCTTGCAGTCTGATAACATAACAATCACAGTATTGGAAACACATCCTAAGCAGGGCAACTTTTCATAGTTGAGAGCTGAACATACATCTGGTATGGATCTTTCCCCATGTAAGCTATAATAGGATGGTTTTTGATATAAGCAAAGCACATCTGAACAATTTTACAAAAATAAGAAAAAAATTTAGAGTGATCCAATGTTGTCTATGTGGAAAATCATTTTAGATTCCTAAACACGCTTTACTCATATGAATGTATTATTATTGTGATTACTATCAGTATTTGCAGTACTGGGGTTTGAACTCTCAGCCTTGTGCTTGCTAGGCAGGCTCTCTACTACTTGAGCCACACACCCAGCCCAAGAATGTATTTTTGAAGAATAAAAATAAACAATGCTAGAACTAGAGAGAAAAATAAGGGATAAAAAGCAAAATGAAACCTCATTGTTTCTAGAGATAACTTTCTTCTTTCAGGGTGATCATGCTGAGGACAAAAACATCTAGCTCAGACTAGAAGGAAGAAGGGATCAAGACAAGAGCTCTGGCCTGGCTTCTGCTGGAGGAAGTAGAGAGCACTCGGCTTTTGGAATGACAACAGATACCAGCAGCCTCCAGATTTTACTTCCAACATCTCAACCCACTTCCAACCTGTGTGAAGAGAATGGCAGATGGGACTACGTCTGTTCTTTCGACTGATACGGCAGGATCCTTGTTTCTGAAAGCATGAATATTCAGCCCCAGTAAGCAGGAGCAAGCCTAAGTATGCTAACTGTACTAAGCAGATCCCAAATCACCTTTATACTGTTGGCCTTATATTACAGATTAGAACCAAAAAATCAATACCTAGAAAATGCCATTTCAGCCAAAGAGCCATTATTCCATGAAATGATGACAGTTTTCATACATTTATTGTAAACATATAGAGAGAAATGGGTGGACAGAAGAAAATCAGAATAATTACCATGTTAGAGGAGAAAAAGTTTATAGCAAGTAAACTGAATCAGTAATTATTCTCCACTTGATGTTATTTTCATGCTTCTATTATTTTCTAGCATATGCTAAAGAGGACCTGACATATCCCTGTTCATCACTCAGAACATAAATCACATTCCTGTAAGTACCATAAGAAACTTTTACCCTGGCCTGTTATCCTGTTGTGTGAATAATATTTATTTGTAAATCTTTCCTTGTTTGTATCTTGAAAAGGATTATTGACTCAAAAGGGTAATTTTGCTATAAAAATGTAATGAAGTGACAATTTCTCTGTGAATGAAAAATAATGCAACAATCTCTGAAATATGTTCCCTGTCTCTTCCCCACCCCCAAATGACAGAGAATAAGGTCCAGAACAATTACCTGTAAATATAATATAACTGGATTTGCTAACATAAAGAGTTTAATGGTTGCTAAAAGACTGTGAGAAAAATACTTCCATGCATAATATGGACTTCATTCTCTTCCGACCCTTCTCAGTAAACACACTATGGAGACAGGGTGACACTGCACTACCAGGCCCAGGGAACCAGGCAGGCATCTCAGACTCAGGCTTCCCAGGGTCCAGCAGGTCCTGGCCTTTAACAACTACACATCTTAATAAAAGGATGGAAACTGGTGCGCTCTTTAGGACTGAAAGGGGCCCCTTAGATTTTTTTCACATCCTAATAAGCATTCATTACAGACGTGAATCAACGCCAAAGCAAGGCACATATGTGGAAGTTGAGAGAGACTTACGAAGTAGCCTGTTCCCAAGCTGGAAGGAGCTGAACTCTGCAATAAAGCATAAAGACAAAGTGGAAAATCAGCGACGGTTTTTAACACGTTCAGTCCACGCAGCTCATTACCAGCCCTTTGCAGGCTTTTCATCACTGCATCACATCACCAGCGCGGCTGCCCCTTGTCATCTGCTACTGATGCAGACACCGTGTTGCTTAATTTTCCCCTTTACATCTCTCAACAACTCAGGGATGCTAACATGCTATTTACTGAATTCCAAGCTTCTGCGGCAGACGTAATTGCCAATTTATTTGACAGGCAGCTGGGTAATGAATTAATGATGGCATTTCGCCTTGCACTGAGACTAAACAGACACGCATCAGGCTGCCTCCCTGACTCGCTGACATTCAATGCCCTGGTCTCAAGCTACTCAGTTTTGTGGCCGCACAGGGGCAGGCAGGAGAAAAAGCCCAGTGGGCTTAGATGACTTTTCCAGTGTGTGACCTACTTGCCAGTTTATTCCCTGAAGGTACCGGTTAGTACACAAGCAGTACTTTTCAAAAATGAGACATTTTGTAAACATAATTAGGAGACTAAAATGCAAAGAATGCCTGGGCAAAGGGAAGCAGTGAAAAGCACCATATTCCTGAAGATGGAGTCACAGGAACCATCAGTACAGGCGGCCATAGTTCTCACAAACAGGGAACTAAATGATGAGTAATTCTGAAGTGAATGAGGGAAAGAAGCCAAAATGAGAGCACCATCTTGCAAACTCGTCTGAAGTTCTCTTGTATGTATCCTTGTTTTCTGTCAAAAGCCCCTCCTTATAAATTCTTTAAATTTTTTAGCATCTTCTTTGTGATGAAGAGAAGCCCCAGTTAAGACTGAAATAAAAATGAAGCCAGGGCTGAGTCAGGCTTCAGGTTTCAGCCAGGCCTCGGGTCTGATGAGTGTGCAGTGGGTGTTACACGAGACCAGGGCCTGGTCTCAGCCCTGATGCAATAGTTACTTGGCTCACTTCTAGCTCTACTTCTAACCTGTTCACTTCTCTAATCTGTGAACTATAGGTAGAAGGGCTTATTTGTCACATGTCCTCAGAACTTAGCACAATGCCTGTCACACAAGATGCATTTAGTTGGTATTTTTTGAATTAATGTAATCAATAAATGAATGGCTGGATTCTTTAAGGGGAAAGGCTCAGGAAAATATGACATCTCTAAAACACAGTAGATGCTGGAGAAGGAATGTGATGTTATGGCTACATCCACACAAACAAGGAAAGCATGCTGCAGGCTTTCCTACACACAGGCCTGAAACAAGGGCTCTGTATCTCAGTGTTCTGACCGATGTAAAGGAGCAGAGCCCAGGCGATCTCAACACTGGGCTGTTTTCAAACATCCTGCTGCATCCCTGTTCCAGTAGCACTGATAAACCAGGTGACAGCATCACCTGTCTACCACTCCCCAGTCCTCCATGTAGCAGGTGAAGGCAGAGGCCACATTAGGTTCCCACCAACCCAGGATCCTGCCCCTGGGAAAGGTCAACTCACTTTACAAGGGATTACCCAGGGACACCACAGAACTTGTTTGTTTGTCTCACCCCACTTCAGGCAAGTGTGTTTCATTCCAGAAGGAGGAAGTATCCCTCCAAAGCCACCTCCCTGCCCCCAAACTCATCATCTTATTTTACACCAGAGCAAATGACATCCTTCAGGTCTAGGGAGCTGTGTTCTGCTCGCTTTGCATGTATATTGTACATTACTCAGGAGCAGGGTGGAGAGGGAGGGCTTTGGAGTGCGTATTTGTTCTGGCTATTGTTTATGCAGGTCTGACTGAATGAGGGAACAGTGGGTATCATTTCAATTTCTGATGTCAACATCAAATTACTTATTTAATTTCATGCCTGGCGAAGCATTGTATAGCTACACGCAGAATCATTTCACTTCATTTGTTATGCTGTGCTTTCGTGGCGATTGGCTTGCCTTCCAACTGACAGCTTTAATTACGACATGAATTTGATTGCACTGCTGAGGAATTAACATAACGCAACAAAGCATTTAAGCACCCAGCATTACAACCCCCGCCCACACACGGGCACACACACACACAGACACCCTAAGGACCAGACTCCATGGCCTCATGTACATCAAAAATCCACTGAATTTGTTTCAGTGTTTGCTACGAGGACTGCAGAATCTTAGAACCAGAGGCAAGTCACCTTTTTTTTTTTTTTTTTTTTTTAAGGGAAGAGATTTGTGGTATTAAGCTATGATTTCTGGACCTGTCAGAAAACTTCACAGAAAAACCTATTTTAAGCTGTTTAGCCAAATGTCCATGGTATGGACATTTTCTTCCTTCACTGTTTTTCCACATTTTTCTTGACTATGCTCTAGCTACCTTCAACCATGGCTGAAACATATGAATAGAAGCAACATCTATAAAACAAGGAGACTTCTCTATGTTCAGTCCTATAATCCCAAGACTCTAGCTGTGACTTTGAATTCAGTCCAGTGGGACACTAGCCCTGGTCACTAAAGGACAGAACAGAAGCTACCAGCACCAGTCAGAAGTCAGGGTTTAACTGATGCTCATGACATGTGTCATACAACTATAAAGCCATGCTATCCACAAGGCCCAGAAAAAAGTTTTGGTCATATGTGCCCTATCTAAGTCTCTACCTAAACTTAGCTGAGAACATTTGAAAACTTCAGTAACTTTCCAAGTCAGAAATTACACAGCACCTCCAAACTATGACCAACAAAAGTAATACTATAAAAATGGAATAAATGGAGCTGGGTTGGTGGCTCAAACCTGTAATCCCAACTACTGGGGAAGCAAGTGGGAGGATCATGGTTTGAGGCCAGCCTGGACAAAAATTAGCAAGACCTTATTTCAATGAACAAGATGGATATAGTAGTAAATGTCTGCAACCCCAGTTACAGAGGATGTGTACTTAGGAGAACCACAGTCCAAGTCCTGCCCTGGCAAAAACCCTTGAGCCCCTATCTAAAAATAACTAAAGCAAAAAGGACTGGAGGTATGGCCCAAGTGGTAGAATGCCTGTCTAGCAAGCACAAAGCCCTGACTTCAAAACCCCTGTACAATAACAACAAAAAAAATGGAATAAATGTTTAGAAACAGCTTTTTTAATAGTTTACAATGTGTTAGAAATTATTCATTTGCAGACATATATTTAGGGGGTGGCGCTGCTTTCTCCTGTTACAGATCATTTTAACTTTCTGCATTCCCCCAATTTCTAATGTGAAGAGAGGGCTTCCATTTTTTGTACTGGATACCTCAGCCATCCTATGTTCAATGTAGACAGTAAACACGGCCTTGGAAATGGCTCAAAGTGAGACTTGAAAAACTAAAGGATATTTCCTTTTGTTAGGGAAGAAACAAAAGTTTCCTTGGTTTCACAAGCATTTGCAATAACACTACACAGCCAAGATTGGGCAAAGACTTGGGCTGAATAATGAGATGGGCTTCATTCTTCTGTCTTTAAAAGTTGCCCATTCACTGGTATTTTCAATGCTGTAAGTAGAAATGAGGGCCATTAAGAAGCTTAGGAAATTGGGCAGGAGAACATGCTAGCGGCTAGCTGCTGAAGGCTAGGAGTAAACGCCAGTCAGCTGGTCGTCTGACCTGCAATTTCTGGGCTCATTACAATCCATCTCCTGTTAACATGGTCTTCTCATTCTGCTGGGGTTTTTGTTGGTTTGTTTGCAGATTTGATCGCTGCTCTGGCAATCTCTGCAAATTATCCTCCTGGATCTCATTATGTTATGAGGGAGAGCTTTCTTAGAAAGGGCTCCGCCTCACTCTCCATGAGACCATGGGCTACCAGGGCAGTAATGGGCTGCACAGTTGAAACATAGCTCCAGGAAGGAGAGTGTTGCTGCTGACATTCAAGCCTGCAAGAAGATATTCATTAAGTACTCATTCTCCTCTTTCCTAAGCCCCCACCTGCCTTTCTTTGCATCAGTGTCACTATCACAGAAGCTACTCATTAAACTCATGAAGTTAACTTTTCTGTTTTAACAGCTTACCTACAACAAGGGATCTCAAAATTGATCATCTATCTAAAATAGATGTGCTCCATTAATTACAGATCCACACAGAGAGGCCCTGCCTACTGCGCGCAGGACAGATGTGTCCTCCACCTCTATGTGAGAATGTGTACTCTGACTTAGGGCTAATTTAAACCAAATATTTTTAAATCCTACCAAATTGCCAAGGTATCTGACATCCCACCCACCCACCTCCTCCATGCTATGAGTAAGTGGGAGAAGGACCACACCAGGAACCACACCAGGGTCACAAAACAAGTGCACTCACAGATTGTCCTGCAGTATTTTAAAAACAATGATAATGAACAGAATTTAAGATTCTCAATCCAAAAACATTTGTCATGGAGATAAAGATTATGTAAGCAGACAAAAAGACACAAAATCTATTTGCCAGGGAAATGCAAGTAAAAATGGAGCGATAACTTGAAAGAAGGGTCAGATGTGGCCAAGCTAGATTACTCCCAACAAGGCTAACTTTTCAGCCCCCAGTGCACCCACACCAAGGGTTCGCCACCTCCTGTGGTACCCAAAAGCCTTCTGGTGTCACTGCCTCCTTCCACACTCCCTCTCAGCTTCACTGTAGTTCTTCATATGAAAGGCAAGTTAAACATTTTATTTTTGAAATTTGTTTTTTTAAATGGTACTAGGGTTTGAACTCAGGGATCTACCATGTGGGCTGTGTCCATAGTCCCTTTTCTTTTGCTTTTAGTTACTTTTTTTGGTTAGGGTCTCAGGTTTATGCCCAGGTTAGGGCTTGGATGGCAATCCTCCGACCTGTGCCTCTCAGGAGCTGGGATAACAGACAAGTACCATCCCACCTGGCTCTCAAATTAAACATTTCAAAGTAAAAAGTTAACCCCAATCTTTCTAACATGCTCAACATTAAGCTATAGAGGGGTGGAACATCCCCCCACCCCAGCCGAAGTCCATGTGCACCTGGAACCTCAGAATGTGGACATGATGGTCAATTTTATGTGTCACAACT